CCGTATCCCTCCTCCACCCCAGTTCTCACTTCTCCCTCTCCCCCGCGATCATGCTGTCACCCCTGAGACTCATAACACCTAAAAGGCTCCTGCATATAGGCACACATGGCAAAAACACTTAGGTATGCACTCCCACACGCACACACAACTTACATGCAGTCACACACATAAACCTGTTTGCCTAAAATTACATTCATTTGAAACATGAATATCCTGTTTTGTGTACGTTATAATGCCCCCGCTTTCAAATGAGGTTTAGCAGCAGGCAGATGACAAGGGGTGCTTTTGTAATACCTGGCGCTGCATTATGAAAGCACAGCAGGCGCAGCGCACCGAACTATTGTTAATGTTAGTCAAAACTATAAAACACCGGGATAAATTATGTCTCTTTCTACTGCTGGTAGTCCTGATGCTCTTATCTTTGGTCCTGAACTAGTAATGCAGGTTTTCTTTCCTGTATTAGCAATGCAGTTTTGGGGCTTTTTTTGTAGTTTTGTAGGCCTTCACTTCAGTCATTATTGACTCGATCCACAGGTATTACCTAACAAGTAGGTTACGGATCATTTTTGGCAGTGGGGTAAGATTAAGTTATAGTCAGTGCTGATGTTCTATGGAAAAGCAGCGCACTTACCGTTGTGTGTGTGTGTGTGTGTGTGTGTGTATGCAAGTGAGCGAGTGTGTGCACTGTATCTCAGAGCAGGTGGCTGCGGTGCTGGAACAAACACCTGGCCTCCGCCTTTTGAGTGACAGGTGGCGAAGTCACTGCAGGGCACATCTGGAGGGTGAAGCGAGATTTTCTGTTCAGCCTCTGTCTCTTTCAGCTTTTGATGCATCACGGTGAAGCAAAGGTCGCTCTGATCTGACCCACGGAGCACAGTAGTTGATTTTGTGCCTGTTTTATGGTTCTATTTCCAGTCTATAATAGCTGCAGCAGAAAGCCAAACTATGTAATGCAAATTTGTCTTGAGTTATATTCAGTCCTGAAACCTGCAGACACACAATCACATAATCAGAATATTGTAGCGCGCACCTATAATCCGGGCTGCTGTGAAAACTGAATGGAGCTGAAATATAACTCTGTTGCTTCATTTGAAATGGGGAGAATCTCAATAATAATTTACACTCCTCACCAATCTAAACATTTATATGAGTCTTTTTGTTTAAATGATTGTTGTTTAGGAACTGAGGTCTTGCACGGTGCTGTCAGAAGCCTCTAAAGTGCACTTGGAAGCCATCCGCCGCACAACACGCGTCCCCTTTTGATAAAAAGAGAAAACTCTGAGAGGCATGACTGCATTTATTTACCCAGCCTCGCAGACCCTGCTCAGGGATTGCATATGATGTTCCGACTAACAGACAGAAAATAAAATAACTCAAGCCCACTTACTAGCCTTGACACATAAAGACTTATGAGGGCCTGTTTGCATTTCAGAGCCACCCAGGTGCCTTTTGTAAAGCTGTAGTGTACTTGATGCTGAGTTGAAGAGGTGTCATATTTGGAGGTACTTAAGCATGCACTGTTTTGTTGTCTGTTCAAAGCCATGTACATCAAACAAGCATGGCTTATTAAGTAGAGCTAAAGTTGCCAGGACACCTGTAGATTATTGTGGAAGTGATACGTCAAAAATCTCTTTTGTGTGCCGCAAATAATTTCAAAGATGCTTGTAAGCTACGCTGCTCTTATATCTCGTGTGTTTGAACAGGTACACTGCAAACACACACATCCACACATCTTAACCTAGAAACCGTGAACAGATTTGTGTTATTCTGACAATCTATTATGCGCTTGTGTGTCTTTAGATTCACAGAGAGGATCTGTTGTTTCAGGTTTACTGGAGTCTTTTTTCCCCCCCTTATTTGCAACCCGAGAAGACATCTGAATACAGAACGACTGCATTTTTGTCCAGGTGTGTCATAACTTATGGAGTTTTTGACTCAACTCCTTTTCAGCCTGTGCACATTTCCTGAATACCATATCTGTAGAAGTGTTGCAATCTATGTGAAATGTACATGTGAGGAGGTTTGAAATCAAGCAGTTTCAATATAACCTACTTCTCCCCCCAAAAAGACACAACAGGTGTCGAGTGCAAGAGGCAGAACAGGAGAAAGCACCTGACGACGACTCTGCATTCCCTTTTGGCAAGATTATTTAAAAAAAAGCCATCCCAGTGAGGCAGAGTGAGGCTCTGAACATGAGATCAATGGAGCATATTTAAAAGACATTAGAGAGCAGTCCTCCTGTCACATTCCTATGATAAAGTACAGGAATCTGGCCCCGAAGCATACAGTACCATGTATCTATAAAAGCGATCCTCCAGTGTCATTCCTCATGTGCTTAATCTCCAAGTGGAGATAAAAGATGGAGGATGGCCAGCAGGGTCTATGGGTCTGGGTCATCCTACCCGGCACTGGGATCCCCCCAGCGGGCCGGCAGATGTCAAGGGGTGAAGGTAGAGGAGAACGGATAGCTGCCGGCCCTGGAGCCCCTCATTCACTTTCTAACTTGCTCACATTAAAGAGAGCTCTAATCACTGCAGGGACTTGGCCAATGATGTGCGTATCAAAAGGCATATTTCAAAAAGGCATCTTAAAAGGCCCGAGGGCGAAGAGGCAATAAGAGCACATTTGTATGTGGATGAAAGGGAAAAGTGTAGACAGACCTTGCATCAGAATACAGCGGGGGGAGATCATTAGCATCTCCAGCAAAATATGCACTAGCAGAGAGGGAGAGAGAGGTACAGGCAGAGAGGGAGAGAGAGGCAACAAGGTGGCAGTGGGACGGGGTTGTAGGGCTGAGGGAGAAGGGATGGTTCTCTTCGCCATTCGTTCTTTTTTGTTTTACACAGTTCCCGAAAAGAATAAGAGAACAAATACATTTTTGAACAAAGGCAGGGCTCTTGAAATGGAAGCCCGCTGGGGGTGTGAGGTGGCTCCATTGTGAGTTACAACAGAGTGAAGCCACAACGCATCTGCACTCCCAAATCCTCTTACACTCCTCTCTCACCTCCCTAAAGAGAACAGGCCCAGTGCGTGAGCTTTGATATGCGACGAAGAGCCTTGAATCAAAGGATGTGATGGGGTACACAATTCCCTAATACATTGAACAATATTGGCCCGTTTCTCTTTCTAGCATTTTGGTTTTGGACTCTGACAGAGTCGCGGCACAGCCTCCCCCGTCTGACCAAAACTGGTTGAAATTGAAATACTGTCTCCTAACACGAGAAAGGACTGAGAGAAAAGCGCCGTGTGTGGTTTTCACATTGAGTGAAGGACTTTCCTAAAAGCAGGGTAATATGAGAAAGTTGTGATGCAAAAGCTGCTGAATGGCTTTTTTTTCTTGCAGCCAAGAACCAAAATAATTCTGTAAACAATGACAGGAAATGACAGATTCTGGGATTTTAAGCCACACAAGGAGTTTCAAGATCTGCCTAAAAAAAGGCTAGATATGGCTCTGAGTGAGGAACATCATAATTTAAACATCAAGGTGTCTTAACTCAGCACAGAGACCAACCACAATGCTGATTTGTGTTTGTGTGATTTTCTACTGCACTTTCAAATATTTATGAAAGTGTAGCAGCGGTGAAGACAATATCCAAGAAAATGGACCATTGTAACTTTATAATGCATTTTTTTTCTCCTTTAATTTTACACATAATTCAGCTTACACACACACACAAACACACACACATAGTGTCAGCAGAAGTGAGGGTGGTGGACGCCGAGCTTTAAAAAGACAGTAGAATAGAACAAAAGCTTGTAACTTGGCATAGTTTGCACACTTGTACATGAGCAGCATGCAGACGTACAGCGTGAAGTAACTACAGTAGTTTGAGTCGTTAAAAGATGTCTATATTGCACAGAGATGCCTGCGTACTGTTCACGCACAAATACCCACACACCGATATACAGACACGCTCATCAGACCAAATTTGGAAATTTGGTATCAGGAGACCAATTATCTTAATTATTTTCCCTTTCCCTCCATTATTCTCCTCTACTTGTTTTCCTGCTTTCTATTTTAGCTGTGTTTGCATTTGTGAGTATTTTGGTTAGTGCATTTCACAACACAAAATTACTCCAAAGCTCTGCGAGAGGAGGGATTGTGTGTGCGTGTGAGTGTGTGTGTCTACATAGGCTAAAAAATCCAGGCTGTTTTATTTCCATACTCAAACATGTAGCAAGAGTTCCTTGCCTAGGGAACAGTGGCAGTTGAGTAATGATGGTGCGAGTAAGCTGTTATTATATTCTGCTTGAAAACCCAAAGAAACAGCATTTAAACCTTCAGGGCCATTCTGTTCAGCTGCTGCCATGCAACAGTTCAGACTAACCTACACAGATATTGCCCAATTGTGTGTTACAGCTCATTCACTACGAGGTGACAGCATCTCGCCAACCACGGAAAGGAAGGTAATTATATTGTGATGGATTTCACCTGCACCCCATGAAAATAACCCCGTGCATGTCTAAGCACAGCTGGTTTCAGACATCCCTACCTAAAACTCATTTCGCCATCATTGTACAGACGGGAATATTTCTTCTTATTTTTTGGTCTTTTGCTAAAAGATCAAATTGCTTGTAGGCTGTTTAGTCAACGGTGAGGGCCAGCAATATATCCTAAAATCTAAAAAGAAATGGAAATTTAGATAAGCTGGGTATCTTCAAGAGCAAGTGGGATCTAGATAAGAATTCCTCATCTTCAGTGTTTACAGGCATGGGAGTCATGGGTTAGCGTTATCATTAATAAGAGGGTTTGAAATGGAGACTTTCCACAAGATCATGCCTTGCAGATTTGCCCTTAAATTAAAGGGCAACTTTCTGTGATGTAAAGCTATGCTGTAAATCCACTGATAATCTGCCGGCAATTAACAAGTAAGCTGATGAAATGTATACCATTTAAGCATGAGCATCATGCATGGCAAAATCAAGAGTGGAGATTTGATGCAACGAAGGTGGCCTGAAGAACCAGTGAAAATGTTCAAAAATGCACATGAAAACAAATATACATATATATTCAGATTTTTATTTATATTTCATTTCTGGAAGGATATCTTGTACACCAAATATCCCGTTGGCAGTTAAGCGCATTCAATGTGTTTAGAAGCCAGAAACAGTCACTTGTTTTAACAAACACAATTACAAAATAAAGATAAACCACAAAATAATGAACTGCATGTATATAACATACAAAAGAATCCCATGCCTACTCAGTAGGTAACTTCAACATTCCAGCTCTTGAAGATGTAGATATTTACATTTCAGTTTTACAAAAATAGACTTTATAATTTTTATCCTTTTTTGCTTACATTCTGATAAAATGAAGCGGTGCCCTCGGAGCTCGTCCCTTCACTCCCTCTGTGTACATTCTGTAACAAAAATAGTCCCTCAACCCTTAAGGCGAGATGCTGTGCATCGTCTCTCGCGCTCAGCCATGTCACACAATCAACAAGGCTTCACAAAAGGCACCAAATAACAGGAGCGTTTAAGTTTTTTTCTAAAAAAAAAAAAGAAAATGTTTTTTTTTTCTTTTCTCTGTTTTTCCATATAACTGAGCGATATGTCACATGTGAGAAAGAGAGAAAGAGATAGTACCAGTGGATGATATTTACAAACAGAAACGAACATCACTCTTACTCATGCTTGAATACTTAAGTGCGGTTTTTTTTTTCTTCAAACAATGTCGAAACGTATCACAGCATCATCACTACATAATAGAGAAAGTATGTAGAAAATATGGCCCTGCTCACTTCAAATAATACAATGCAAATATGCAAACAACTGTTCACATCAGTGGTACCAAAGAATGATAAAAACGAAACGTGGCACATGTACAATATACATATATGATAGCTTATGTATATCATTCATTGTCTTTAGTACTGTATGACCGCCTGCAAGGACGAACATGCCTCTGTACTTCAACTGCAGGCGATCTGTTTGTCTCATGGTTATTGTGTACCTATAACAGAGACTTGCCAGTTTCTCTGTCTCCAGAGTCCCATATGCACTTGAAGTGCTGCATTTGTTTTAGAGACAGAAAAAAAAAATCCCTTTTCATCTTCTATTGTCTTTGCCCGGTCCTTGACATGTGTCTTTTTCTCTCTTTCAGGTAAATCTCAAGATTCACCTAACACTGCACAGGGAGCAGAAAAGTGCTTTTTGGAGGGGGAAAAACAAAGTCCTTTTGATGCTGATTTCTTTCCCCTCAAAAAACCTTAAGGAAAGAGAGGTACGGAGAGAATAAAAAAAGTTCTTGTCTTTGCTCGTTCTTAGCAGATCTCGATTGTCCTTGGGGAAAGGGTGGTCTGCATGTCTGGGAGCGGGGTGGGGACAGGGGAGCTGTAGATGTTGGATGCCACTGACGAGGGGAAGGAGGAGGCCACCTGGGATTGAAAGGTGCTTGACATGGACACCGATGGGTAGGTGGTGGCGATGGATGGAGATGGGTAGGAAGTGTGGACGGGAGAGGAGTAGCAGGAGGTGACTGGAGAGGGGTAAGAAGACACTGGAGAAGGATAGGAAGTGATGGAAGAGGGGTAGCTGGAGGGAGGTGAGGCTGCTGAGACCGGGGTTGCTGTTGCGACCACTGCCCCCACCTTCTCTGCTTTCTTGTCCTTCTGCCGTAGGTGGATCTTTGTGTGTCTTTTCCTCTCGTCGCTGCGGGCAAATTTGCGTCCGCAAATCTCGCAGGCAAAAGGCTTCTCGCCGGTGTGAGTACGGATGTGCGTTGTCAAGTGGTCACTGCGGCTGAAGTTACGCATGCAGATGCGGCACTGGAAGGGTTTCTGACCTGTGTGGATGCGGATGTGACGCGTCAGCTCATCAGACCGTGAAAAGCGCCGATCGCAGGTCTCCACGGGGCAAGCGTACGGCCTTTCGTGGGGTGGTGTCTTGCTTGGCCGGGTGGGGTACTTGCGCATGCGGCTAGGCTTGATTAGCTGGGACTGGTAGACACTTTTTAAGTCCTGCGAACCAGTCTGGGTTGCAAAAGCCTTGATGGTAGAAAGAGGAGTCAGGGAGGGCTGGCTTGACTGATTCTGGAAGGGCTTCTGGTCAGGAGGGACCAGGCTGATCTCTCCCTGCTGCTGAGGGAAGAGGTAGTCAGGAATCATGGGCACAGGGAAGCTTGTGCTGCAGGTCTTGCTATTGGGATAAGCAGGGGGTGGGTACTGCACTGTTCCAGCTGAAGTGGGAAAAGCCTGGCCCTGGTCTGGGAAGATATCAGAGTTGGAGCTGGAGTAGGTTGGGGCAGCTGAGTAGATTGGGTTGGGTTCACTGTGGTGAATCGAAGAACTGAGGCTGGAGCTCTGAGATGAGGACGAGGAGGTAGAAGAAGACGAGGAAGAAGAGGAAGATGGGACTGAAGAGGAGGAGGATGAGATGGTCTGTGAGGCTGCGGAGGAAGAGCTAGAGCTGGGCGCAACATTGCCTATCAGCCCAGAGAACAGGCCCAAGATCGGCTCTGCCCAGAGGCTGTTGCTGCAGGTGGTGGCGGGCTCAAGGGTGAAGCTGCCTGTATAGGAGATGGGGGGCAGCCTTTGGGTTGGGTAGGTCTGCTCCACCACTGGCTTCTCACAGTTGAAGGGGATATCAGGTAACGTATCTGCAGGGAGCACAGAGAAAGCAGAGACATAAATCAAACTGTCAATATCCAGAGGGAGGGAGAGGGAAACCTGCCAGAGCAGTGGACAGTGTGTCACCCCTCTCTCCTGTCACAGATCAGACAGGTGCCCACACAGAGAAACACCCTCAAACTAAACTCTTTACCCCTCAACCCTAGAAGTGTGTCTATCTAAACAGCAACAGAAGCCGCATGCTTTCTAAACACATTGGCTCAAACTCTCTCAATCTTTCTTTTATTTTCCTACTTCCTGTCTTTCACAAGCTCGAGCACACACACACACACACACAAGCACAGCGTTTGGATTCCTAAAACCCATCACAGAGCCAGAGGCGATTGATCATCGAAACTGCAGTTCAGCCGTTTTTGGAAATGCAATTTGAATTGAGCTGTAGGAGTGTTGAGAAGCATGCGGTAGCAGAGCAGAGTCTGAGTCTTTAGAGACCTGACAAGGATATAGAGCTATCAATAAATTAGTGTTAAGTAAGGTGTTTTTATTTCTCTGTATTTAGTTTTAACAGAATTATAATATTAAACAATAGTGTTAAGTGAGCTAAAGGGGAAGACTGCAAAACTACATGCAGCAGACTTATAACTAAAAATCTTAAATGTCAACTTAAATCAAGCATGACTGTTTAATCCAGTGAAATAGCAATAAACAGCAAACATAAATAATATTTTTGTAAGTTGCATTGCTGTTTCTGTCAACTCTTTCTTGGTTCATTATAGCTCTACAGATGCGTTTAATTCGGTTTTAAATGCAGCATAAACAACCAGAAGCAATAGAAAAAAAATCTCCAGATCTTACCTCCAGCGAGGTGGTCATACTGGTCTCCTGGCTCCCCGGAGCCAAAACCGGCACCTTCTGGTGCAGACGCAGAGAGGAATGGGGTCCCTGCAGAGCTGAGCATCATCACCTCCTCCAGCTTAGGGTAGCTATCCATGGGGGAGTGAGAGAACCTCAGGGGCTCGGAGTTCTGCAGGGCTGGGAGAATCATCTCAGTCTTGGCTGCAGCCATCCTCTGCTGGTGCTGAAGCTGCAGGGCTGAGACTGCGCTGATGGCTGGTGTTGAGTGCGTGGAGGCTGGGCGCACGTTAGCAGAGCGGTGCCTCGCAGGTGGAAGGAATCACTTAGCCCCGTTCAGGGAGCGCTGCACACTTCTTCTGATGCCGAGGAAGATGCAGCTTTTCTGTCTTTAGTCCGTGACTCTTGCTCTCCCGTGGTCCTGTCGTTGTCCGTGTTTCTCTTAGAGGTGAGTAAAGATCCACTTGTCTTTTCGGAAAAAATCAAACGTCTCCTTTATACTCATTCCCTAAAATTCATCAAAATTAATCTGTTGATTAATTTCGACTTTTTGTAATAAATTACTTCTCCAATTCAGGCTTTTTACCTTTTTGGATTGATGTTGTTTTGAGTTGACGTTTTACTTTTTAATGTGATTTTTCTGTCAGTGAGATCTATTTGTTTGTCTCTCTATCTCGGCTCTAACAGTTGCTCTTGTGGGCTCTCAGGGCTGTCTATGAGCCGAGAGGTTTCCCCGCTCCTTTTATATGTGCTTTGTGACGTAGATGTCCATATTTGGAGCATAGGAAGCCCATATTTAGGCACTGCAGTGGAGGACACATGACGCTGGCCTGGGGGGGGGGAAACAGAGAGGAGAGACTTTATATTAAGCTCTAACAGTAAATTGTGAAGACAACGCCGCTCTTCCTCTCTCCCGAATCAATGTATCTTCATAGACAGCAGCATTATTCTTGCGCTCTCCCGGTCGTCCCATAGATTTGATTTGGATTTCCCATCTGTGCAGCAGGCAGCGCTGCTGCCGGAAAGCCCTGCTCCGCCGTGCCTTATAAGGTCGTGACTACATAAGGACCTATTCCGGTGGGTTTCCATTTCCCCTGTCCTTATTTGGAGCTTCCTTTGGCAAAGCCGATCGCTGTTTGGCAGCGAATGAGAGAATGGAGTGCAAATCATGTCCAACGCTCACAATAACTAATGTTAGCGACAGAATTACGGTCCTGTGTTTAAAAGCGCAGCTTAACTCGCGGTTCGCCTGTAACCACTCTGTGAAACAGAAGAACTGCGCTGCGTGGACCGAGTTAGTGTTTAAACAGACACACAGAGCAAGCCAAAAACACGACGAACGCTTTTTAAACACAATCCCAACAACTTGTACAACAATTTGGGTCCAAAACACGCAAAACCCAACTGCAACACCAGCTCACGCACAACTTTAACGCCCTTTTTTTCAACAACTACTGATACTTACGAGTTGCATGGACGAGCGTTTCTCTAAAACCTCTGCTTAAGGACCTATTCCGGTGGGCTTCCATATATATATATATATATATATATATATATATATATATATATATATATATATATATATATATATATGTGTGTGTGTGTGTGTGTGAGGACAATTCGGCAGCGGGTCTGAGAATTAGGAGGCTGCAAACTGCTGGATGGCAGTAAACTTCTCCTAAATTAACTTTCCATCTCTTTCGGCGGTGTCATTGATTAATGAGGACAGATAGGTGCGGCTGCTGACGAGGTACGGACCGATCTATCTAATTGAGGGGTGTCCCCTGCTCAATATTCAGGGAATCTCTCTGCCACTCAGCGGCTTAATGGGCCGCGTTAACAACATTGTGCACAGCTGCCAGGACGCCAGCGGGATACCGATGTTACCCCGGCTGCTCCAGTTTCGGCTAGGGCTCCTACACTCCTCGGTGGAAGCTGACGGGAAATCGATGTGTTTCCCTTGCTGCTGACTGGATCTATATGTGAGCAACCTTATTGGGAAATATCGTGGGCAGGAAACTTTGAGGTGGTCCAAGAGAAGGAGAGGGAGGGAGAGAAAAGATGCTGCCGATGAATATAATTTGATTTACATTCAGGGTTTAGTGAATAAAAGGCATTTGAACTACGTTTAAACTGCCCCATCCAGATGCCGCTGTCACAAGCATGCTATCACAATCGGACTGATTGAAAAAACTGACATAGATCGATGGATCGATTGATGTGGTAACAAAACAATCATTCAGGTACGCACAACTGGCGTTTGGTCTTTGCTGGATTGCATCCCCTTGCAGGCATTTTCCATTCAGCCTCTGGCAAATGTCTCTGTTTACCCCTATTAGAGTGATAGCAAAATTCTGTCATATATTATGAATGATCTGGAGCAGAGGCTCCTTTACAAAATCCCAATATGCCTGGAGTAGATGTCGCTGCTGGAGAATGTGTAATTCTGTTTATTCATCCGGATACTGGACGTATAAATCTAGTACATTTTGAAGGTATGTGGCAATGCGTAGAAAAAAATGCTAGCCTGTCACCGTGCACACACACAGTTAACGTTTGGATTTACATTCTGCTTTTCAGCTACAAGAATTCTCCTCCTCCATGGGCCTGTTACTTTGACGATAAAAGACCAGGAGACAGCCTACAATGATGGTGAGTTACACAAAATGATTTTAAATGTGGCAAGGTGATGATACCAAATCTAAACTCCTGTCTGCATCCACCACCGCTGTCATGCATCAGCTACCAAGGTCGATAAATTTGTGGAAAAGCAAAGAAGAAAAGAGCAGAGAGCAGCAGATGAGAGAACTCATCATCTGATGACAATGTAATAAAATCAGGTTAGGGAAAAATCTCAGAAAAGTAATAAAGTAATAAAGATGATAAACAGTTCACAGTGGTTGTTTGGGCCTCTCTTCACTCTGATGCATGGAGGGGGTGGAAGCCAGATGCTGTAAGGGCAGGAGAAGGAGAATTAGTCTACGTGTGTAGATGCTCAGGACCTGTGTGTACTTTTGCATATTTGTGTATGTAGGTCAGCGGTTTCTTCTCATCGGTAAGTTCAAAATAACTGCCCACACAAACCAGGCAGAGGAGTCCTCACCCGATCAAACTCCGGTGACCTATGAGGAAAAAAAAGATAACTAACATTACACGCAACAGTCATGCCCCTGTTCTCTCTCTCTCTCTCTCTCTCACTCACTCACTCACTCACTCTCACACACACACACACACACACACACACACACACACATACATAAGCATATCCTGCACGAGCAATGGTTAATATTTAACCATGTCCTGATTTGAAAGGAAAACACGAGGAAGTAGGTAGATGTGCCAAAAAACAATAGAAAGAGCATCCATGAAGAGGAGTTGGAACAATAGAATGACAGGGAGGTGAGCGCAATAAGTAAATATGTGAAATTGAAAGAATCCCAGGCAGGTGGAGAAAAAGAGATGAAGAAGGTGGGTAGGAGGATAGAAAAATAGAAAATGAAAGAAAATCCTCTCACCCACGGTATCTATGTGGGAGCAAATATCAAGCTTTGTGTTGGCATTTTTCAGAACCCAGTGCCAGGCAGTCAGTCAGGTAGACAGGGCAGCCAGGGAGGCAGGCACTCCCACTCCTCCGTCACATCGCCTCACCTCCTGGGCTGCCCACACCGAGCCGTGGTGCAATCCCTCCCCATTAGCATACAGGTGTGCTCCCCTGATGGGCGGACCAGGATTAGAAGGTGGGTGATGACAGCTACTGAAGCCTGGATGTTACACAATCTGGCAGAGGAGACACGAGGGTGGGAGGGGTAGTGTAATGACACAGAGAAGAAAAAAAGCGGGTCCTGGTTATTTTGGAGCACAGGATCATAGTTTCATAGTTTTATTCGAGCATGTGGGAAAGTGTGTGTGTGTGTGTGTGAAGGGGGGCAATTTTTTATTATGATAAAAATTAGATGTGGCCTGGATGTGTTATATACACAGCCAGAGTTGATAATTAAATGGGAGAAGAGCGGAGGCCTGATCGTCTCGGGCAGAGTGACAGGCTGAATATTAGCCCATAGTCACACAGTGATGGGGAGAGAAGCTGAGAACATGATAGGAGGCTATTTGATAAATGTCATTTTTCTCTCAGTTTTTTTTAAAGGGACATCAACAAGAGTATGCCTCCCTGACCTTTTTTTTAAAACATGTAGAGAGAATTTGGACTAATTGACACGCGTGACAAGCCAAATGGATCTAATGGGATTCTGGAAACTGCCTTTTGCCTTTTGGGGAAGACATCCAGCAACGTGTGTCTGTTTAAATACTTGACACCGTCACTCTGTGCTCCAGTCATCATAAACCTTGGCTCGCTTACTGAAATCTAACACAGCCCATGACAATACAATGCAGAAGATTACAGCACACCACCTGTTGCTACTCTGAAACAGTTATGCCCCCCCCTTTTGAGAGGATTTCAGGAATGCCAGTGTGGAAGGCAGGCTCTGTGTTTAGCGGCGAGACTTTAAGATCACAAGTTTTCTTTTACTATGGGAGCTGACCTACTAAAGCTTTAGGCCCCAGTGATGTTTGAAAAACAATCTGCTCGCTCTCTCAGTCAGTGCAAGCATCCCTCCTTGTCATATTACCCCGCAGGCTGTGGAGCAGGAATGGCTGTGGTGTATCACGGAGAAAGAGAGCTGCGGCATCCAATAGCTGCTCCATCTTCATATCCGTCTGCTGCTGCCTCGTGAAGGTGGAAGGTGACAGAGAAACAATTACCAAAAACATCACACAGACACCCCCCCTCCCAACCCTGCCATGTGCCCCAGAGGTTGTGTGTGACTCACAGAGGACCCAGCTTGTTTGTTTGATGCTTATGACAAAAGAGCTGACCCCTGACCTTTCAGCTCCGGATGAGTCACCGGCAGCACACTGAAAGTCGGGGCTTCCCCACACTGTGCAGCATTCACAGCAACGGGTAACATTTAAAGGTTGCTACAAAACGCTTTCTTGTGCCATAATCCGTGGGTGACCCCAGCATGCTGACAGGACCGATGGATACAAAAAAACAGGTCAGCTCAGTATTCATCATCCACAGCGAAGAGGTTCTGTTTGATGAAACATTATAGACTCGAGAAGCTTGTGTACATTAGTTTTTCTGATCAAAATAATAATAATTAGTGACTTCTGATTCGACTGCTTGGAAAAAAATTTATTCAAAGTCATATTGAATTGACAAAAGGCACCTGTTGTGCTGTTATTGACTGTTGTGAGATCTGATCCAAATAACCTTACCACAAACTGTACCTGAGATAACAACTGAAGGTAGTTGCTGAGGTTAGCATCTAGACTGCAAATACTTTTTCCTTTCCAGTGTTGGAAATTAAGTAAATACATATGATTTCAAAGTTAAGTTTTTTGTATAAACAGTGCACTTTTTACCATGCACTCTATTTTTTTTAAAAAAATGGCAAAACCTTTATTCATTTTTGCTCATTAATACGTTTAAAATACACCCATCCTCTTCAGTCACTTTATGCCATGCAGTTTGCAGAGAAAGAAACCAGGCAGAAACCAAATTTATTTCAAGTTTACATCACACACTGGGTTAAAACTCCTCATTCTGGCTGATTAACTGAGCTGGCTGGAAGTGCTGCTCACAGTGCTGACGTCTTCACATGGGCAGAGAGACAGACAGGAAGAGACGGGGAGTGAGGGAGGCAGAAAGATGTGGCCTCAGCGTCCAGAC